CACAAATTAGAAGCTTTAACAAACTTTTCATATTGTGTATTTTTAAGCTTGTTTTTATATAGATAAATACTTGTGTCCAGCGCATAAGTGCCCCTACTTGTCCGCTCCACTTGTGATTAGCATATTATCATTGTACAAGCCTTATGATCAAAACCGCTCATTTTATTTATCATGTTTTAAGTATGATATTTATAAAGAAAAAAAAATTCGATTTTGACCTCATTTAGTCATTTATATGCATACAAATTAATAGATGGTTTACCATGAGATTGCCAAATCGATTTATTTAAAACTTATGGATGACTAAACGAGCTCTAAATTGAATATTTTTTAAGAGATGATCTTTTGATGACTATAAATAAGATAAATAGTTTTGATTATGAAATTTGTACATCAAACTACGTTAGCTACAAATCGGTGTACAAGTAGCTAAACCTATACATGATTAGTAACCCTTTGTTTCTTTCTTCTTTTTCTTCACATTCTACACGTTAAATTTATATTCAAACAAGAGGCACAAGTGTGGAATTGTTTTTGTGACGGTGCTATGATAATGATATGCAATTGTATGGGCCATATATGCCAACCAAGGTTTCGTAGTAATGCAGCTTACGTTTAAGTGCCGCTTGCATTTTAGTCAATTTCGTACCAATTAGTTGACAACTAGAAATTTATGTCCGTTGATGTGGAATTCAAAATTGTATAAAAAATTATGTTTGAATAGTATAAAAGATTGGGTTGCAAAACGTTAATGCTATATACAAAAGATAAAGTACATAGCAATCTACTTGACAACGTTGATTAGATTGTTATACAGAAGATGTTATTGCTTCCTCTTACACATATGTAGGGGTGGTTCGGTATGGGATACCAAACCGAAAGTAGTATCCCAAATCCCAAACCGAAATCTTTTGGGACGGGAATTTGAAGACCAATCCCAAACCAAATTTTCAGGAATCTCAAATTTCGGGAATCCCAAAATATTTTTGGGATTTCGGGACAAATCGGGAATCCCAAATTAACATATGAAATTATGAATTATTCTTCAAATATATAATTTAAGAACACATTCATGAACTAGGAATGTCATTTCATTCACACTACCATTTAATCAAATATTGGCATGCTTGATTGTTTTTATCAAAGTCAAAATTCAAATTAATTAAACCCTTTTGGCAATCTATTGAGAGACAAAAGAATCAAACCTTCTGAAATCATCAACCATGACAGCAGCAATAATAAAATCCAAATGAATATCAAACAGAACATGAAAAATATGCAAGGTGTAAGGCATTCCAGGTTGCAGAGCATGAATTAGAAACTACTAACATCAATTATAAAAGAATAATATAATATATATATATAGATATTAATTAATAATATATATTTTCGGTTCGGTTTGGAATTTTCGGAAATTTTTTCCACCCCTACACATATGTTGAGTGCAAAACGATATAACAATGACGATAAAAACATTATTATCTCTGAGAGGTCCAAAATTTGAAAACCCCCATTCAAAGAGACAATGTAATCTAATTTCTTTTCAATCACAATCCCAACAGAGATAAAACAACGATTAAAGAACAAGCTCAGAAATACGACAAAATTCAATTACATTACTCTAAGGACTGAATTGCAAACTGTAGCATTGCCATGTAATGGGTAGAAAAATTCTTACTCACTTCATGAAATTCAATTGCGATCAGCTCCACACCAACCCTTTTGAACAACGGTTTCACCACAGTTGAGTACCTTCAAACCCAATTTTCAAAACAAATAATTCTATTTACGAAAAATTTGAACTCATTTCTGACACAAAATCCAGCACTACTCCTAGTTGAAACAAAACAACCCGCAAAGCCTTGTACTTGATCATATTTCACCAAAAACTTCTCCACAAATGTAAATTTTCCCCCAAGACAAACTGAAACCAGAAACATTCTATGAAAGTAAAGTAAGCCATCTAGATGTGTGGACTCACACAAGCATAAATCGTTTATTAAATTAAACGCAAATTATCTTCTAAACTCATATTACGAGATAGATAATGTAACATATCTCTTCATGTTTGGTTGATTAAAACTGGATCTCCTGAAACCAAAAGCAAAACCAAATTAGCCACCATCACCCAGAATTCGAAGCCACAAACAAAATCCCCAAAATCAAAACCAAAAAATTTAAACAAAAAACCCATTTATAAATCCAAATTTACACTCCCAAGTGCAAGACTCTAAGCTTCAATTGTACTTTCTCAACTTCAGCTATTTCAGCTACATAACATAAAAATAAAAAATAAAAAAATAATTAACTAATCTGATTTAAGATTAATAAAAAAGCTTGGAAATTTCAGCTTTAAAATCACGTCTCAAACTGCAAGTCGAATCAAAATTAATTTAACTATAATTTACCTTTAGTTTTTCATTTTTTTATTGAGGAGATAAGTTGATGGAGTTAACACTGCTAAGTGTTATTTAAATCAATAATCACGTACGAACAAATAAGATAGAATGCTGAGAGGCCACGTATGTTTTTGAGTACAGTAGATTTGATCTCTGCACTTGTAATTGCCGTGTCTAATGTCTTTTTTTACCATGTTCACGTTTGGCAGTTGAGAGGGATTTAGAGGGATTGTGCCGGCCCAGATCTATGCCACTATAACGGACACGAAACCTTTAAGCTTCTTGTTATTCGTCTGTCTATGCTTTCTCCTCTTGCAATGCAAGAAGTAGGGTTTAACAAACTTTGTAATTTAAAGAAATGAAAACTAATGAAAATGACTTGAAAACTTTAAGTTTTAACGATAAAAACAAAATAAAAGGTAAAGTGAATAGTACCATAATTGACTTTTTAGTGTAAAAATGTGATTTTTTGTTAAAGTAAATAGTGCCGGAAGCTTTTCGTTAAAGTTCTCATTTAAAGAAAGATAAATGATTGGAACTTGTTCATGACAAAAGTAATAATTTATGTAGTCTTGACCTTAGTTTTCTCTGTTGTAAGAGATTTCAAACTCAACTCACATGTTGGCACATTGATAAAAATTAGCAAAATAGAAAATTATGGCTTCAATTTTTCGATTAAACATAAGATTTCTTTTTTCTTCAAGATTTTATAGAAAGCACTTCCATTTGTATTCTAAAATTGCTTTACTATATACATATTGATGTTTTTGTTAAAGATCCAAGCACTTATTAGAAAAGCACTTGGATTTTGCTGAGGTATTTCCTAATTATGAAGTACTTCTCTAGAAATTACTTCTACAGCTTAGAAGCGTTTTCAAAATTTTCTGTCAAATGTTGTTATAAGCATTTTTTAATAGTAAAAAAGAACTCCAACCATTTCAAATGCAATCCAAATAAATTTAAAAGATGAAATTGAATCTCCATAATAGGTAAGCTTTTTTTTTTCATACAACGATATTGGGAGCAAGGGGTTGGGCTAAGCAACACAATGGCTCACCAATTTTTTTTTTTTTTTAATAAACTCATTATTTATGAAAGTCAAACTCTAAACTCTATTTACTGAATAACTAAAATACTACTAAAACGTAATAAAATTGCCTAAAATGAAATAAAATTTGATACATAATCAAGTGGGGTTAGTTATATGGTTCATTGGATTTAAGTCAAACCACAAATATGGACGCCCTGACCAACTTACTCATTTAGGCCCAACTTATTATTTTGGGTTGGTTTTTTCTTTTTCTTTTTCCCTAGCTTACAAACTACGGCTCGAAAATTCCGATATGAACTTTCTCATCCAAACAATTTCCTTTTCGACTTCTAATTTTACGCCAATTTTCCTCAGTTATGAAAAAGCATGCATCGATATTTTCATGAAATTCCATACGCTTGGTAACCTCAGCATCTCAAACAAATCAAAATGTAATATGTTTTTTTTTTTCCCCTTTCTGTTTATGTGCCATCTCTCCCATCTGAACCTCTGATCGATGCATGTTTATCAACATGGGAATGTTCACAACGTAATTGCTCGCATTCATGAAGGACTCAAAAACTTGTGGTCCAAATCACTTCCTCGTCAAGCCCAAACTCTATTTTTAAAGTGTCCTTGCACCGAATTGATTTTGAGTTTGATACATTACGCATTTCCATAACCAATTAAATCTCCTATCTTTGAGATTAGAGCCAGTACAAAACGAAACTAAGTTATCTGCACAAATCTGTGTTTTACTCAAACCTTTGGTAACGTAGTAATTAGCATTACGGCTCAGTGGTTTTCGTCTTCACTTATAAGAGGTCTTAAGTTCACTTCACCTTGATAATGAGTTTAATACTGAATTGTTATTGTTTGTTCATTGTGTGGTTTAAGTCGGATTTCTCCCACTCATATAGCAGTAGATCGTTGTATAGAAAAACACTAATAGCTTAGGGGTTGGTTTTTTTGGAAACTAAAAAGGGTTGTTTGATATCCTTCTTGGATCCAATTTTTTGTTTTTAAATTAATGAGTACTAAGTAATTTAACTACAGTCATCATTTTTGAAACCAATAAATTGTTTTCAAATTGACTACCAAACAACCCCTTAATAATTGTCTAACAACCCTTATGAAAGGATCCCCAGACCAGGGCCTTTTATACATTCTCGACCATTTCTTCCACCAATATTTCTCCCACAAAATAGTTATCAAGCTGACCCTAAAGTTGTTTTTTTTTTTTTTTTTTTTGGTAATACATTGATATTTTTACATTAAGGGAATGAGGAGTTCAGCTAAGCCACATAATGGATAACCTAAGTTGGTATTGAATTCGTCATCTACAAGATTCGAACCTAAGACCTCTCACTTCTAAATGAAGAGGAATACCACCAGACCGTAGTACTGAATGACAACCCTAAAAGTTGTCTATAACTAAGTAATCAACTGTATCCAAATTCAAATATAATGAGGTACAAATTCCTTGCCAAACTAAAAGACCTAATTTAGGGTATAAAACTTGCAAGATTGCATTAACCCTCAACGCACGCTATTAAAGGTAAACGTTATAATAGCTAATGAATTGCTATGTGCATTAATGTATATTATACAAAACCGTCATCTGTCTTGAACAAAATCTATAATCGTGAGTGTTTTTTAATATGCATCAGTGTATATTATATTATTATTATTGTAACCGCTGAGTCCCTGATTCTTCTTTAATACTTCATTCTTCCGAAGCATATTATTGACCAGAAAAATAAAATTTCCGTCATTGTAAATGTATTAATTTGTGGACCATGTACAAATTCCAAAAACCTACCCTCCCATCAAAAATTTAATTTCCGCCCCCTAAAATTGCATCTTACACCATCAAAGCTCCTTGTCCTTAACTCCAACGGACTTGGCCGCCGTATCGCCACCGCCAGCTCCGCTGCTGACACCTCTTCCCTTCCCCTTCTTATTGAAAAACCCCAGATGAATTCTGATGTAAAAATTCAAAAATGCCAACAGAATCACACCGTTGAGGACCGAATTGAACAACCACGCGCCAATCCCGTTGCACCCGCCTTTCATGAAATGCAGCATCAGGACGCCGACGTGGCACGCCACGTTGCAACCCAGCAGCGCAATCTGGCAGTTCACCACCACCGGAAAACACGCGCCCCGCATCCCCACGGCGGTCCAGAACCGGTACCCATAAACGACGGAGTAGACGAGCGTTGTGCAGAGGATGGCGAGGACCTGAATCGACTGCGAGAACTCAAGCCAGAGGAACGAGATGACGGTGAGGATCGAGTGGTTGAAGAGCTGGAAAGGGACGAGCTTCCGGCGGCGGAGGATGGTGAAGAATGTGCGGAGCATGTGGGGGAATCTGGACAGGTAGTACACGTAGGACCAGAAAAATACCCGACCCGACGGCCGGGTCCCGAGCGGGAAGCAGAGGAGCCACTGGAATGGGGTTTTGGACCGCCGCCAGAACCACCGTGTTTCGTGAATTTCGGCGGCGGAGGAGAGGGTGATGCCGGCGAAGATTGTGAACGATATTAGGGCCATCGCAAGGCTGTGGATTGCGGGTATAGGTCCGAGCGGGACTGGTCGACCCGACCGGTTAACGGCGAGGAGGAAGAGGTGGAGGAGGATGGAGAGGGTTATGTAGACGGCGATGGCGGTGAAGAGGAAGGACCACGTGGAGCCCCAGGAGTGGGTGTGGGACCAGCGGAACCCGACGATGGAGGGGTGCTCCGAGAGCCAGAATGTGAGGGCCTGGATAGCGGGTTGAGCCAACATTTTGGTTTTGCCGGGTTGGGGCGGATCAGACGGTGGAGGTGACGTGTCTCGTCGTTTTAGGGGGCAGAGTAAACGACGGGAGACGGCCCTTCACGCGGTGGCGGGTGGGTCTGGTGGCTCTGGCTCACATCGAGTCATTCAATCACCATTTTTTTCCAACTTTTTTTTCGTTTTGGGAATTTGAGGGACGTTTTAGTTTTAGAGAGAGAGAGAGAGGAGAGAGAGAGGCAGTGCCGGGATTAAATTGAGGGATGGAAAATTGGAAGTGAATCAAATGACTGGTGGGCATGAAGCCAAGAAATAGTGTTGGAAGAACTGCAGTTTTGGAGGACACGTGGAGAGGTTTGATAGTCGATCCGTGTGTAATACTTGGTGGGGCCAGCTTTGTCACGTGTTGGGATGAGTAAAATAAAGGTTTGTTTTGGTACTTTTAGGAGGAAGTAGGTTTGTTTGTTAAAGTTGGGGATTTTGGGAGGAAGTGTGTGGGGGGTTTTATGCTAGTGTATTTATGAAGGTAATTAGGAGGTGATTAATTTGACCGATGCTCACAAATTAAGTAGTTGTAGTTAGGACTGTTAATCTTGTTAGGTCAACCATGGGCAACAAAAATAATCCATCGATTCTTCCCTTCTCTTTGCTATATCTAACATAGCCACTTAATATTACAGTTTAGTGGTATTTTTTTTAGGAAAACTAATAAAAATGACTTGAAAACTTTGAGTTTTAATGATAAGGGCAAAATAAAGGGTAAAATGAATAATACTAGGATTGACTTTTTAGTGTAAAAATGTGGTTTTTCGTTAAAGTGAACAGTACCGTAGGCTTTTCATTAAAACTCTCTTCTTTTTTACTAGTAAGTGATAAGTCTTAGATTCTATTTTTACCAAAGGCAAATTTGAACTACATTATTGCTAACTCATTATAAGTCTTAGGGCCAATTTGGGATTGCTGCGCTTTTGATAAACTGTATTTTTAAAAGTGAAGTAGGTTTTTTTTTTTTTTTTTTAGATGCAATGCCAAACTAGACCTTAGTCCACGCCCTCACTCCCTTAGTGTAGTTAATATCGTTTGCTCAAAAAAATTAAACATTAAGTCTTAGAGTCTTAGGTTCGATTCTCACCCAAGATGAATTTGAACCACATTCTTCCTTGCTTATTGTGAGGCTTAACCCACTTCCTCATCTTTTTAGTATAGATAATATCATTTGTTCAAAGAAAAAAAAAGTTTTAGAGTCCATGCACACATATGAGGTTCCATGCTCTTTAATTCATTTTCCTATAAATAGTGTTGGAAAATGTATGCATGGAACCTCAAATGTGCCTATACATGCACATATTTGTCAGCCACTTATTACTACGGTCTAGTGATATTCCTCTTCACTTATAAGTGAGAGATCTTAAGTTTAATTCTCGTCAAAGGCGAACTTGAACCACATTATTGCTAGCCCATTGTGAGACTTAGCCCACTCTCCTACCTCCTTAGTGTAGATAATATCGTTTGTTAAAAAAACACATTTGTCACATGTGTACCAAAACATTTATTATTCTTTTAAAATAGGAGGACGACTGGTGACAAGCCACAGTTATCCATCCATTTCGACCTCGCAGAGACGTTTCAGTCTTCTCTGGCCACAAATCTGACTTCGACACCAGCAGCGAGTTTCGAACTCAAGACCTCTTGTTTTTAATTTTAAGAAAGTTTCATAATCTAGCCTTTGACACTAGACCACCAGCTCATGATTTGTGTAATAAAACATTTATTAATTTTACTAGTTATGGGAAGCACGTATAGGCACATACAGTAGGCCAAATATGTCGAAATATCGGCCTAAAGTTGGAGCATTCAACTTAAATTAGGATGGATCATCGTCCTCCAATATCTTTAAGAAATCTTATCTCAATAACAACGTATAGATTTTTCCTCACAATAAATGCATTAAACGTCTAATCTTCAAAATATTGTGCTTAGTGCACTAATTAGTCGCACACGTTAAGCAATTTTCGACATTGAATAAATAGGATGTACTATTTACATATCTATTTTTACTTTTCACACACTTTTTATTAATTTTTATCTTTTAATTTTCTTCAATTTATCCGATCTGAAGGCCAAAAATTTTAAAAAATATATGAAAAGTAAAAAGAGATGCGTGAATATCACACCTCTTAATAGATTTGTGGGCGGCTTACCGTAACACTATCATCGTACCAACTTGTCAACTAGGCACTCGAATCATTCCAGATTTCAGTTGTCATGTTTAATGGATTTTGTGGCTACAAATAATGATGCGTGGCATCTATTTTTCCAGGAGGATCATGAGAATTCTCTAATCACATTGGTTCATCGTATATCGTATGATCATAATTATTGTAAATTTCTTTCTTTAAAATTGAATATAGACAGTATCTAACAAAAACTGACCTCACAATGTACGATGAACGAATATGATTGAAAGATCCGATGAATATCCCCTCTCTCTGTTTTTTCAGTTATTGAAAATTTGGCAGGTGGGGGTCTCTATCAATATAATTGAGAAGTTGGAAACAAGAACATCTCTTCGCTGAAGATACCCTAAAGGAGAGCAGTAGATATACTTAAACTAATATCATTTGCTTAATATTGAAGAGTAATGTTAGGTAAACTAATTTTTTATATCAAATTTGTAAATTATGTGATGTGTCACTAATAGATAATAAATACATTAATTAAAACTCAAGTAATAACTCAATTATCAATAACTACGTCATATGTAATTTACAAAATTTAATCTAAATATAATTGATCTCCCTAACATTATCCAATGCCGAAACCAACTTTCCTTTAGTTAATTTCAATCAAATTGTCACCCAACAGTTTGAAGGTGACGAATGTAATTGGGTCCTCTAGTCTCTTGTAGTAAGTTACTGTAAGGCTCATATAAGTAAGTTTATTAACTTGAACTGCTCTACTCGTGCATGGTAGTTCTGAGGGATGCCAGAACTCAGAACTCAGAACTGGACCAAGTTTCAACATGCGTGTTTAGACAACGAAGGTTTTTATCATAATTAATACTTGAAATTGGTCTAACTGGCCATTTTAATTTCTGAAATTAGCAAGGAATTCGATGGAATTGGACTGTAGAGAATAAATTGATGTTTTAGGTCAATTTCAAAGACAAAATTAAACAATCTTTAATTTCAGAACTAAAATAATAAGTTACATCAATTAGAAAGTTTAATTGTAATAAAAACCCTTAAATAAATATTTACTGAACAAGCTTGAGATCGAGACGTGAAAGTTTGGGCAAACCTAGATTCTGTAAAAAGAAATGCTAATGACATTCTCTAAAAGTGGAATTATCTATCAACTCATGTCACCTCAATCTTTAATGTTAATTAATACATCAAAATTATAAAAACTTTGTACAAAAAATATAGGATGATAAAAAAATTCACAAAAATATCTCACTTCTAAAAAAATCTCTATCACATTTTTCCTAGGTAAAACATTATTTTTGGTGTAAAGAGATCATTTTTTCTTAAAGATCCTAGGGATTCTGTGATCGTGACCGTTCATCGTATATCGTGTGGTCAGTTTTCGTTAGGTACTATTTATATTTAATTTTAAAAATTAAATTTTGAAATGATTTTTGATCACGCCATATACGATGAATGATTACAATCATAATATATTCTTAGACCAACTCCAATGGTGGGCTAAAAGCTAAATTACCCCCAAAAATTTCCCCCCAAACCCACTCCAACCCAAGGGGAAATTTTGGACTAAATGCTAAATGGTAAACAATGCCAAATTCCTCCCAAAATTTAGCCTAAAAATTGGAGTGGACTCCACCTAATATTTATCAGAATTTAAATTTTTTTAGATTAAAATGTTTTAAAAATTAATTTACGATGGTCTACATATTTATTTTTTTTAAAAAAATTAATTAACAAAAAAAAAAAGCCTAAGTTCATTATTTAATAATCCGGGGGTGGGGGTTAAAATTTTAAACTAGAACGGTTGGAGCAGAAAAGATGTTTCTGAGCTAAAAGCTAAATTTTTCGGGCTAAAAAATTTAGCTTTTAGCCAAACCATTAAAAATTATCTTAAAAAAGGGATTCAGCGGGGGATCCTTTTCCGTAAAGAGATCACTCAGTTTGAGTCGATCAAAAAAACCCTACCATGTTAACACTAAAAAATTAGTCTAATGGGATGCATGTAGAGCAGCCATAAACTTCAGTGCCCCTCTGAAAACTGGTGGCAGAGCAGTGAGCACAATGGTAAAGTTCATCAAATGCTCACGGCCATAAAGATTTGTTTTTCTTCTTTGGGATAAATATTTCAGCGTAGGATTCTCTTCATTTCTATTTTAGGTTAATTTCAATTTACTATTCTAAAATTTTTTGATTTTCAATATTTAATAAATGAAGGTTTTTTCATCCTATAGTGGTACATAAAGTCATAATTTTGGGACACTTTCATACATCTGTTAAGTTTGCTGTTAAATCAGCTGTTAACTGGTGACGTGGCGCTCACGTGAATAGTGACTAGGCACTACATGTTATAGGGGCCCACATAAATATTTAAAAAATTAAAATAAAAAAACAAGTTTCTGGGCTGTCCCCTACCTCAACCCTCGACCCCCTCCATCCTTTTTGCACTGCACGCCGGAACGGGAAATCAGCTTTGTCGCGAAAAAGATGCATATAATTACAATGTTCCTTGTCGTCACGTTCGAATCCTCCGGCGAAAGCGGCAGGCTTATCTAAATGGGACACGTTGTCTCTAGCAGCTCCGTCATCCCTGTAAAATTTGACCTGTCAGTCTCTGATTTGTCGACTCGAAGAAACGTAGCGGTTTCGGATCCTGGTGACCAGTACCCGTATAACAATCTCTTGAGTTGGAGCACGCAATAGCCTTTGTCGTAGTATTTGAACATGAATATGAGGCAATCGTTTCTCACCAGGCATCTCGATTCGCATACATTGAAATTGACGGCGAGCCAATTGGTTTGGTTGGACGTGTTTGTGAAATTCACGTAATCAAGCCGCTCAAATCTAGTGTTCCCCAAATTCGTGAGCTTAATTTTCCTTTCACGCCCTCCATCTTTGATTTCACTGGTGGATTCTTTAAATCCTAGCGCGCACATGCAGTAAGAGGAGCTCGAACCGTCGTTGAAGCAGATGGCGTTTGCCCCGCACGTGCCGTGGACTTTGCAGAATTCATACCTGGCTTGCCAGACGATATCCCATTGCCACAGACTGGGATCAAAGCTGTAAATTCTGAATTATTGTCGATCATCAGTCTTCGAGATCGATTCAGGCCGAAATCGGAGGCGATAAACGACTTGCCGTTTGCCTGCTGCAATTTGCCTTCAGAGTCCAAAGATTGGAAAGCGTTGCTGAGACTTTGATAGACGTCAGTGTCGTTGAAGACTAAATTACTCGCGTTGACGACGCTGAACTTGTCATTGTTGGAGATGAAGGTGAATTAGCTCCGGTCATGCTCTGGTTCAGCAATACGGTGTCAATGGGGAAGGCGAAGCTTTCCCATTTGCCGTAAATTAAGTATCCGTTGTTGAGGATGTGGAGTTTGGTGGTATTTGGGTTCGAATAAGAAGGTCCTGGGGTTGAGGTAGGGGATAGGCCAGAAATTTTTTTTTTTTTAATTTTTAATTTTTTTTGTTTAAGTTTTTTTTTAATTTTTTAATTTTTATGTGGGCCCCTATGACACATGGCGCCTAGTCTCTGTCCACATGAGCGCCACATCATCAGTTAACGACTGATTTAACAACAAACTTAACGGATGTATGAAAGTGTCCCAAAATTATGACTTTATGTACCACTCTGGGATGAAAAAAACTTCATGTATTAAATATTGAAAAACCAAGAATCTTCAGGGTAGTAAACTGAGATTAACCCTATTTTTATTCTCTTCCCCCCATCTTCTTACAAATTGTTTTTTGTCTTCTTATTAAAAAATTAACACAAAACGTTAACGTGACTTAATCGTAACCGTTCAAATAAGAAGGAAAAAAAAAACAACAAGACTAAAAAGGGAGAGAATCCTACTCCAAATATTCCAGCCACCAAGTTTGATTCGTATTACGATGTTAAGTACTATATGAATTTAGTTATCCGAAAACAGGGAAATGCTTTTACACACCCAATTTGTTATTTCTGTTCGATCTAACTGTCAAACATAAACTATGCAATGGAAAAAACGAGTGTATTGAAAATAATTCTCTTAATAAGTAACTCTAAGAAGTACGCGTAGTAATGTTATAACGCAATGGGGTTGTTTTTACCGTAAATTGAGGAGAAATTCTTACATACAGATGTCCTGTGAAGACATCATCTAAGTTAAAATGTTTATAAACCTACTTCATTAGAAAATGCTCAACGGTCTTTGCACGTTGACGTTCAAAACTGGCACATTCAATTGGACCTAATGTAGTGTGGGCCGTTTGTTGATCCTTGAGAAAGCTAAGACTAAAGCAAAAAATGGGCTGGGCTTCCCTGTCTGCTCTTCAGTACAATTGTCATTACTTGTAGGTATGCAAGCCCAAGCCCCACAAGCGAGACTCAAGAGAGGGTATTTTAACAGAAGATCTCGGTTTTAAAGTGAACATTATTCTAACCATCTGAGCTATAAAACCATAAAACCCTTTGCGTGTCCTCTAAACTTACAAAGCACCCTTTTGATAACCTTGTTATTAGAAAATTTTTGACCTCTGTGGTTTTGCCGGTGTCGAATTATACAATCTTCAAACCTACTTGCTAAAACCGTTGCTTATGTGAGTTAGTCACATAATTAGTGTGTCCGTCCTCTTATACTCATGGCGCTTTGTTGATTTTCCACACACAAAAACATTCCAATGTGTTACTGTTTATGGGCCGAGCTTTTGTAAAAGTTCTGTAAATAGCGGTAAGCCCGCAAAAGTACAGATTTCAACATCACAGAAAAGACACCACCAACATCAGAATAGGACTAGGACGACCAAAACCGTCCGATTGGGACACCTGAATGCATTATAGCCGTCGGAAATCCGACAGTTTGGTTGGAAATATAACGAACGCATGCTTACATATTCTAATATGGCCCATAATTCTTCAATTATATATTAAAAAATAAAATAGACAGCCCACCAGCGTGGAATGAAAGAAAACAAAAAAGTGAATGAGGATCCTATCCGAATTCGGATCTTGAGGATCATGAAATTACGTTCATTTATCGTATATCATGCGGTTAATTTTCGTCAAGTATTATTTATATTTAATTTTAAATAAAAATATTTAAAATAATTTCTAATCATACGATTTATAATGAACGGATATAATTTAAAGATCTTTAGAATCTTCATAAAAGAAATCCGGAGAGGACCCTCATATCGAAAAAGTGGGAGGAAAGCGTGGAATCTTCCACAATCCGCAGAGAGAGGGCCGATAGAGGCTCTCGGTTGCCTTCCTCCAAATATTAGAGAGAGAAGACTGACTTTTTCCTACCCACTTAAGCACGGCACATTCTCTCTCTCTCTCTCTTCGGCATACGATTCCCAATCAAATTGCACTCGCCCAAAAGGTAATTTTAGTTTAATTTAATTGTTTCTATAGTTTAATTTCAGTTAATTGCTTTTTAATTGTTCTCTCACCTTGATTCGATTATTTTTCCCGTTTTGGATTTCTGAGCTTTTTCTCGGTTTGCTTTTTAGATGCTTTATGATTAGGGATTAGGGTTTTAGGGATTTGGAATTTTGGGGGATTTTCTAATATATTGAAGAATTTGTGCAATTGGTTGGATAGACTTGCTTAATCGTTCTGATCTGGGTCTTCCTTTTGGTTATTCTCTTGATCTGCGTGGTCTAGATCTTTGTTTTTTCCTGGTCTAATCTTGTTCTAGATTTAATTTGGTATTTTGATGTAAAATACGAATCTGGTTTTGGGATTTAGAGCTCGTTTGGATACGCTTTTAAAACGACTGAAAGCGTTTCCGGTGATTGAATAATTTAATTATTTTTTTGCGTAATTTTTCTTTGTCTTGGAGATTGAATAATTTAACTAATCTGAGTATTGTCTCTGTATTTCAGCTGTTTCTGAATCTAATTCATGTCGGGATATTAATTGATTTATTTGAGCCATAAGAAAAATGACTAAATTAGTGATGAGTTTGTATGAAGTGCAGGCAAGGCGTTTCCAGTCTGAAGTTTTGTGGTTACTGAGATGGCAAGTGGTTTTGGGGAGTCTACAAGCGTCCCGCCCCAAAGCGTGTCTTGCTCCGGTAACAATGCCAACGATGTGGGAGATTTCGAATGCAATATTTGCTTCGAACTAGCCCAAGACCCGATCATAGCCCGTTGCGGCCACCTCTTTTGCTGGCCTTGCCTCTACAGGTGGCTGCCACCATCACTCTAATTCCCAAGAGTGCCCGTTTTGCAAGGCCCTCATAGAGGAAGAGAAGTTGGTTCCGCTTTATGGTAGGGGCAAGACGCAAACCTGACCCAAGATCAAAGTCGTATCCAGGGATCAACATTCCCAATCGCCCGTCTGGGCAGAGGCCTCCAACTGCCCCTCCCCCGAACACCAATCAATTTGCCAATTATGGCTTTGGATTAATGGGGGGATTTGTACCAATGGCAACTCAACGGATTGGTAACTTCACCTTGGCGACTGCATTTGGTGGTCTGATACCGTCTTTGCTTAACGTTCAGTATCACGGGTTCCCGGATGCTACAGTATATGGAACAACTTCTGGTTTCCCTTTCGCACCATTCAATTCATTTCACGGAGGCCATGGTCACGGATTCTTTCAGCCGGAAAACCACCAATGGCAGCTGGCTGATGTTTGGAAGTATATTTTTTTGTTTATCGGTGTGTTTGTGATCGTCGCGGTTATTTTTGGTTCGTAAAATGATTTGCCACTCAAAGGTTTGAAACCAACAGGGTTGTTTAGTGTTGCTGCTCTTATATGTGTAAATATACGTTAGTCGCATTTCTGTTTGTTGAGACCAACAAGGTCAGAAGTTTGGGGTCGATTTATAATAAACGGTTTGCTTTCTCTCGCTCTCTCTCTCTTGATCTCTCTCTCTGATATTTTTTTACTGTATTCTGAAAATGTCCCATGTTATCTGGCACTGCCATGAGTTGCAAACATCGTATTCTTCCTGTCTGGTTTTTGTGCAATGATGAATGTAATAAGAACACAAGGACAAGGGACAAGATTATAATTCATCTCTCCAATATGTGCCTTTGATCTGGCTCTGCCACCACCCGGGACCGATACTGAAAAGTTTGATGAAGCTGATTTTATTGGATTCAGTTAAGAAGTCGCTTTTACTGAATTCTTGATAATCTTAGAGCCGTTTGATAATTATTTCGGAGCTGTTTAATAACTATTTTATTTTCAGTTTTCAGTTTTTCTTTTTATTTTTCTTGAAAAGTGAATATAGGGTATTCATTTTCGACCCATGACATCTTAGTATTCAAACTCTTCCCCTCCGCTTAGTAAAACGGGGCCTTATCAAGTGTCTTGTAGCCCAATGCGAATGAATGCCTATTTTACATTGCTCCTCCAATGATTAAAACGATTTCTTAACATTCAAATAACTTAAAATATTTCTAGCTCATAGAATACTTTACGGAGAAGTACTCGAATTTTTAATTCAAATTTAAATAAAATCATTTCCATCAAGGCGTTTATAAGTTGAAGTAGTTTCTAGTGAAACAATTTAATAGAGTCCTGATGTTATTGGTGAAGTGGTTATGAGCTGGACAAGGCCATATGAACATGGTCTTCACAATTAACTTTATCGGAAGAGTGATGGCTGAACTCTGTATCATCGTCAGCGTCACCATGGGATTTGACATCACACTTCCAAAATCATAAATCTCGTAAGCAATCTTGCAAAAAGTCAGAGTAATCCATACAGAAATTTAATTGTTAAAACAAAAGGTGTAAATTAGGGTTTTGGTTTTTCTAGACCATCTCTAATTTTGGCACTTAAAGCGCCCCGTGCTCGAATCCTCTTCCAAACACTTGCTTGAAGAAGTAGATAAAAGATTAGATTAAGTACCTAAATCCATCCAACCTTTTAATGTTATTTCAAATTGGTGTCAACATTTTTAAACATTCTAAATAAGCACCCAATCTATTAAAAATGTCACATCCGTTGAGCACTAGTTAAAAATTTGTTAAATTAATTAGGGCTTACTTTGTTTTTAAAATCAATAAAAGGTGATGGAATAGTCCACTAACTAACGGTCACCACCCCCGCCATGCCATCACCTCCAAACCCATCACAAAACCACCAACTCCAAGTTACAACTCAAGCTGCAAACATTGAGAAGAAGGTCATGGAGGTTACTGAAATAGTATGGACTGTCATGATACAACCACCACCATCTTCACCGCCCACAAACTCCTTGTTATCATATCTGAATTCTTAATCCTCTTCTTTGATAGGAGATTGCTCTCCTAATGTAATTTCAATTTATGTCCATTTTCGATTCAGTTCAATACCCGTTTGATCATTGAGTTCCATATTATATGATCTATGTTTGAAATTCAGATTTTGAGGTAACTAATAATGTTGACCATGATATATCCAATTGCTGGGTTTTGAATATAATCTATGTTTGAAAAATTAATTGGGGCTTAACGGATGTAACATTTTCAATAGGTAGGGTAAATATTTAAAAAGGTTGAGACCAATTTAAGTATTTAATCTAAAAGATTTGACAACCTTATAGGCCCTCTCATTAAAAACTAGTCTAATTGATCATTTGGTTAAATTAATAATCAAGAATGGAAAGTATAAAAAACAAACCACAAGTGGAGATTTCATTACAATAATATCACTCTTAGGATTAATCTAACTTCTTGTTACCGACCTACCAAACAAAACCGCGTCGGTGATTTGGTGTACCATGAATGTACGAATACCTAATTCAAAAGGACTACTCTAATTGAATAATATTTGCTTCTTCTACGTTTTAGACTGGTTTGGTACTTTCCATGAAGATTCATCTTCCATTTCTTTGACTCCCACCCAACTCAATTTTGTTTCGTTAGGCTTAAAACTTGAAAGTCGTTGTACGGTTTGTTTGCATGCGGCAATCTTTTATGAACAAGATGGCACATTAGATTGAACTTTGGATTTAAGTCTGTTTCTATGAGTGATGTTATTTGGACTAACAAAATTGATACAATTTAATACAGGTGAACTTCACATATTGTATTAAGTTAAGATCTACCGTTTTCAAGCTATTAAATGATGTGTCAACAACTGTATCGGTTTTTGTACGTCTAAATATTTTTTTTGATTTTCTGTCATCAAATGAGTTGCCAATATCCAAAACCTACTACAAGATGAGGTTTTCTACCATTGTTTTTACAGCGATGCAACCTCACCAAGGGCTGAGTAAAACTCAACCATCCATTTTTGGAGGCCTTTAGGAAATGACCGGGCTGATATAGACGGCTGGGATCTCACTGGGCTTCTGTCTTTTAGGGTAAAGTAAATCGTGGAAACTTCCATTTGCATTGCATGCATGGTTAGTGTCATATTTGCCTTGCAGAAAATCACAGAGAGACAAAGCCAAAGGTTTAAGCGATAAGGGAGGATTGATGCATTGGCCATTTGAGCTGACTTTTCTGGCCGCCCTTATTTCCTCTGCCCCCACCGCCGGCTGCCCCACCATTTGTGTTGGTGGCACTGCCTCCACAGTAACTACTCAGCACATGCAAATGCAACCCCTCCAAAAATAAAATCTTTCAAATTTTCAATCAAAATAAGTTTGAGTACAAATCAAGGAGCAAAATGTGAACCACTTATATTATATTCCATTCTGGTCAACATCTTCGAAAATGTACTCCTCGGTTTATATAAAGCTAACTAGGTGAGATAAAGTTGTTTGATATATAGTCATTTCGTTCAACTATCACATTTCTTTTTCTAAATTGAAAACTGAACAACCAGATGGATCAAACTGTTTCAAGCTATTTCTAATAGTAAGTTGATTCGGTTGTTTAAAAAATTTTGTGATATCGTGGTAGGGTTGAGGCTTAAGAATTAACTACTATATCAAATAATTTTAATATAGTGTTAATTACGTAGAGGTTTTAGATTCAATTCTCGTCAAAATCGAATTTGAACCAAATTATTATGGCTTGCCCATTGTGAGGTTCAGCCCACTCTCCCACCCCCCTAGCGTAGATAATATCGTTTGTTTATAAATAAATAAAATTACGCAGTAGTCACTAATATCATGATATAGTGTTTTATATACACTATTATACATATAAGAGCATTAAATTTATAGCAACATCTTACCTCTAAAATGTTTTGAAGTAGATACTAGATATGGGAACAATGAACGGATCGGCAATTAGATTTTGGTTTTGGTTTTGTTTTCATATGGTTTAGGCTTCTTTGAGCGGCAACCATAAAGAAGAAACCCTATTAAACTATCATTTTTTTTTAGATCTATTTATTTATACAACGATTACAATATGTATAGAATAAGAGGGTGGGTGAATTAATTGGTTGCGAACTCATCATTCTCGAGATTTGAATACAAGACCTCTCACTTACAAGTAAAGAGAAATATTATTAGATCGTAGTAATTGATTTAGTTAGACTTGGGCCTCCAAAATATGTACTATACAATAGTCGAGCTCGAATAACCAAGCCACGCTCAAGCCTACCTCGAGCTGTCTCGTAATTTCTTTTGAGATGTTCACAAGTTTTACGAGTCGAACACACTAATGCTCAAGTTTGGCTTGTTTCTTGATCAAGCCAAACTAGGCTTAGCTTGGTTCTTTCACAACTAAACTTCGACAAGCCAAACACACTAATGCTCAAGTTTGGCTTGTTTCTTAATCAAGCCAAACTAGGCTTAGCTTGGTTCCTTCACAATTGAACTTCGACAACCCAAAGACGAGCTGAACCGTGCGAGCTTGAAATGTTTCGAGCCGATTTACAACCCTGATTATGGAGAAGTAACTGTTGTAATCTTTGAATAATTTTAGGTTTGGATACACTTTGATCTCAGTCTTTGAGTTTTTCTTTAAAGAGAGAAATAACGTGATTGATGAAACATATGGAATTTTCTTTGTTAAAACTTCACCATCATGCTCTGTTATGACAAAATTCTGGTTACGCTATATATTGTGAAACAATGCTTAGATTTGCTAACGTAGGGTTTTATATGGCCTAACAAAAGTGTTAGTAGGAGTCGAGATGTACCCAAATAATAGGAAAGTGCTCGAGTGAAAGTGCTTGACATGTGGCTGTCGTGTCGCACATGCTTGGTTTCATGGTGGTTTGAAAAAAAAAAAAATGCTGCAACCAATCTCAAATAATGGAAAGAGTTTCTCCATCTTTTCTGTCAAAAGGCAAAGTACTGATAATTGAAGGGCATACAGCATGAGGCTGTATTTTCATTGGAGTAATTTTTAATTTAATATTATCCTGAATAAGAAATACAAGAATAAAGAATATACATGATATATCAGGTTTTTAAGAAAACAATTAATTTATAGTTATGGTTTAAGGCTTCGGGTTTAGGGCATTGTGATCAACAATCTCAGGACGTTGGTTTTTCTGATCTTGTTCTTGTATATACTATTTCCATCACATCACTCGGGTACTCGTCTGTTATTTTCTTATTTTAGATTAATTGTAAAAAAAAAGAATCAAATGACAAAAGCAGAGAGAAATATAACGCAAGAGCGAAAATTACTGACTAATATAGCATATTAAACATGTTGATATAGTAAATCTCAATAGAAAGTATGACACATGACCAAAATACAAGCAAAATTATTTATTTTCAAATTGTAGACACAATAGTTAATTTATAGAATGCATGGATAACAGAGAAACAAAATAAACAAGAAAACATATAATGCATGAATAACTTTTCAATTACCTTGCACCTAATTCACGAAAAATATTTGTCCAAACACGATATAGAAGGCAAACTTCAACTTAGTCAAGCTGGTTAAAGCAATAAGTTAAATATTTCCTCACCCGAGTTTGAATTAAATTAAGTTAGTATAAACTACCACTTTTATCTCTATACAAAAGAATGCATTAACCATCAAAATACATATAATCTTCCAAATTAATCAAGACTTTTAAATATTTCGTTCTTTCATTTTAACTAGTAGTTTCAAATGTGAATGTGATCGCGTTTAGTTTGAAAATGTTCAAAAAGAAGGGAATAACTTAATCAAAATCTATTTTTTAAACCTTTAATATTTGTAATAAATTAAAGGTAAGATATCCAGAAAAGATTAAAAAGTGTTCGAAGGATCACAAGAAACAAATCACTTTCTAATGCGTTTTTTAGTTTGGCTGTCTCAATCCGTTTTCAGAAACAACCAACCTTCACCCTTTGGGTCCCATTCAAAGGGCCAGGTGGCAACTCTCTTAAGTTTATCAGGGTATACAATGTAATGAGGTGGCTCAAAATATAAACACAAATTTCGGATCCCAAATCACGATTGTCCCCATCGCATGAGACATGGATTGTCTATGTGGGGTTCTCCTTTTGCTCTAATAATTTTAGGTCCAAGTTTAGTTTAGTTTAATTATAATTAGGATTTAAGATGGTATACTATATGATTAGGGAAATAAAGGGATCCGAGGGCTAATGCAAATGCAGGGTAGAACACTGATCAGCATCCATGTTACGTAGATTGTAATTGAATCTACAAGTGTCATAACATTCTCTTTTGACTAGCTAGGGTTTGTTTAGAAGTACTCTTGATAACAACAATATGCTCTAAGTATTCAAATAAACTATGGCTGTATTTTAGTTTAATCGTCTTTCTTAAGGTTGGAAGAGATTTTAAGTTAATTCGACATCCCTAATTGATAAAAGAAAAATAATAAATATTTCCTCATGAATCGGTAGAACTGTTTCTATGTTTAGCCCCCCAATAAAAATTAGTAAATGTTGTCCATACAAGAAATGTTTGAATTTTTAATGAAGGTACGTTTTTATGATAAAAATGTTACAGAAAAAAAATGTTATGTCATGTGTGTGCCGGTCGTCTAGTAAGTTGTTGACATTGTGTTACATTGGTTAGAACCCAACACTCTATTTACTAGAATATTAGAGCACATGCATTTGGTGACGAAAATTTATACAAATTAAGAGTAGATATCCCATCTAATGACTTTAGTGTATTCTAATTCTCATTTCACCCTTCTTGGAATCACTTGTTGCTGGGAATTGTATATAAAAATAGAGTATAGCTTTGCACGGAAGCACACACCTATATACATGATATGAGGTTGGAGTTTAATTTTCCTGAAGGGGATACCTCACCAGTTCACCTACAGGATATAAGATGCCGTGGGTGAAGAAGATTAAAGTTCCTAAATTCATATTTCATGCTCAATTTTTGCTTAAAAAGTAGTCCAGCTCAGGGTTATGATGTCCTAATCACCTTATATTTTACAACCTAGAGAGTTATAGGGAATGGGGATAGCTTTAATTCCCTCCCTCCAGTACTAAATGAATATACAAATTAGTAATTGGAAATTAATATAAATGTTAATTAAGTTATCCTCTTAAGGAAATATTTGAATTAATATAACCTAATAGTTGTCGCTTATCACATGACCAATAAATTGACACATGTATGTCAATTTTCCTTAGCAAGCTATGCAAATTGCTAGTGGTTCCTAAGATTCTGTGTTCAAGTTTTTCCTCCCACGATATTAATTGTAAGTTTTAATTCAAGAACGTTTTTTTGTAAAAACAAGAGACTGATGTGAGTAGATAAAATGAATGTACACACTTAACCAGCGGTCTAGGTCTTGATGGCATATTACCAAATATGTTAGTTTCCAAAAATTTTGGTAAAAACCCACATATGGAAAAAGAATAATCTCATTGTTTTCTTGGGAGAATATTTTTTTAAGGATGATCTTCATATAAAAATTAAGAAATATAACGGTTCTGATTATAAAATTTGTATAGTCAAGATACATTATTCGCAAAGAGAGAATGCAAATATTATCCAAATAATCTTCTCTGCCTTCATTTTGGTTGTCTTTGAACAAAGAGCCCCCTCCCTTGACTTGGCTTCCCGAGCAGTTCAGGTTTGAAACCAACGTGGTTTCAAAGCCACGTTGAAATCGCAGAAGTGTCTTCTCCCCAAACCCTCTACAGAAACTCCTCTTTCTCTCCCTTATTTCTAACTTTCTCCTTTTCAAAAGTTAAACCCTCTCTCCTCCCGTCAAAAACCAAAACCACTACACACCTCCTCCCTTTCATATATCACTACCTTTCCTAATTGTCCAAATTTTCTTAACATGCTGTCTTTCCTCATCAGCTTCATCCTTCTCTTTACGACCACCACCAATGCCGCCATCACTACTTCAGAACGACTCAGGGAAGCGCTCGCCACCGCAACCACTCAACGATTCAAGGAAGCACCGAAATTCTACAACTCCCCGAGCTGCCCCGACCTCAACAACCACGAGCACTCAGCGGTGCCCATGTGCTCGGATGAGGCGGACCACGTGGCAATGACCCTCGACGCCGCTTACCTCCGTGGCTCAATGGCCGCCATTCTCTCAGTCCTCCAGCACTCCTCCTGCCCGGAAAATGTCATCTTCCACTTCGTCTCCTCCTCCTCCACCTCCAACTCCCAACTCCTCCAGCAAATTATCGAGACGTCATTTCCCTACTTGAAATTCCGAGTCTACCCCTTCGACGACTCTGCCGTGGCGGGGCTCATATCGACGTCGATCCGCTCCGCCCTCGACTGCCCGCTCAACTACGCCCGCAACTACCTCGCTAACATCCTTCCCACATGTGTCCGCCGAGTCGTCTACCTCGACTCCGACCTCATCCTCGTTGACGACATTTCCAAGCTGGCGTCCACCGTGCTGGGCCCCACACAAGTCCTCGCTGCGCCGGAGTACTGCAACGCCAACTTCTCCTCCTACTTTACGCCTACGTTTTGGTCCAACCCGACGCTCTCCCTCACCTTCGAGAACCGCAAGGCCTGCTACTTCAACACCGGCGTCATGGTCATCGACTTGGACAAGTGGAGATCCGGTGGGTACACGGAACAGATCGTGGAGTGGATGGAGCTACAGAAGCGGATGCGGATCTACGAGCTCGGGTCCCTCCCGCCATTCCTATTGGTTTTCGCCGGAAAAATCGCCGCAGTCGACCACCGATGGAACCAGCACGGACTGGGCGGAGATAACTTTCGTGGGTTGTGTCGGGATTTGCATCCGGGTCCGGTGAGCTTGCTGCATTGGAGCGGGAAGGGGAAGCCGTGGGTGAGACTGGACGCCAACCGACCGTGCCCATTGGATGCTCTGTGGGCCCCATATGATCTGTTACAGACACCCTTCGCGCTGGAGTCTTGATTAAATTAGACAAATAATCATCAAATTATCTAATTCATTACTACAGTTAATTTCTTTATAATAAAGAAAAACAAATATATATTTTCTTCTTGTTTTTTTCTTTTGTCCATGGAAATTTTTAGGCATGGGTGAGCAAACTATACTGATCCATACTCAGGCTTCTGGACTCTCTACCCTCTCAATCGAGGTTTTTGTTGTACATTATACAAGGACAATCAATAGAGTTTAATTTTACCATCGTGTTTTTCTTTTTGTTATATTGGAAAGAATCGAATCATAAACTATCTCAACTTTATAATCATATTTGTATTTTAGTTTTACAGATCTTGATGTGAATTACGTTTATATGCAGTGTGGTTGCCACTTTACCAAACATTTTTCGTTTATCAACTTATTACGTATTGAGTTCAACTCCTATTTATTCTTTTTAATATTAGTATAGTTTAAAATAGAAATATTGCTTATATTAAAAAAATTGTTATTAATATTTCAAATCCTATGCACTTTAAAAAAGTAAAAATACAACGTGAAAAAGCACATTAAAAGTGTAGATTGACAACATCTCTTCCTTCTTTTTGTTTCCTTTCCGTAAATTGATTTTATTGTAAAGAAAAAAGCAAATAAAACTACGACTAAAAGTTACACTATCATGCAAGAACAAACATCAGCTTCAGCACCTAGTTACTAAATCCAACTTCCACGTGGCAGTTAATTTCCCAAATCTTCTTCCTTTTTTTTTTAATCTTTTTTTTATTTTTTAGAAAGGAGACGATAGGATTTCATTAAGGAAAAGACTTCACTATTGAAGAATTCAGCAGCAGGTCCTGCTTACACCCAATTCCGGCTGGACACATGTTCAAGTTTTGATTAAAAATAATCAAAACTTGGATACGTGTCCAGCCGGAATTGGATGTAAGCAGGACCTGCTGCTGAATTCTTCAACAGCCAAGTCCCGTTCTTTCATTAATGAAAGCGAAAAAGTACAAAAACCAAATTACATGATGTTAAATTCCTCAATCAATAGGTCTACAATAAAAGTAAAAGATCCACACACTAGTAACAAGGATTTCTAATATGCAAACTATAGTGAGCTAAGTTGTGTGTCACACCACTAGCATATCGGCGAACATGAATAACGTAATTTCAGTGATTGTAGAGAGGTAGGCTTTTGTGTCTTCAACGATTTGGTCTATCCTAGATCAATTTGGTTGCGGGTCCAGAGGAATCGCGAATGATGATCCCAGCCCCCCTACCCCAACATTTCGCTTAGTGTCCCATGCACCATCAACATTCATCTTCTGGCAGCCAGAGGGCAGCGTTGTCCATCTATGGGTGATGGTGTTGCGGGACCGAGATTTGGGTATGAAATTGATCTTTTATAAACTCATGCTAGCATGAAGAGATCTTGAAACCAAGACATTTGGAGAACACTCTTCCCTGTCCATAAGTTTGGAGTTCCTCTTTCTCGGTACTGGTTTGGTACTGAGGTGCTTTTATAAAAAATGGATATAAAAAAAGCTGAGCTCAAAAAAGTGTTTGGTAAACACTTAAAAACAGATTATTTTCACAGTTTTGGGTGAAAAAAAGCTGAAAACAGTGAAACAACAAAAATGAGCTTACTCTCACAGCACAATAAAAGCATTTTTTTTTTTAAAACATAGTAATACCAAACTAGCCCTCCATATCGCCCAACAAATCATCTTAAAACCATCAAACTGGGCTGGGACATATGCTCTGAAATCTCTATTGCCCAAGCTCTCATTGATAGTGATGCTGCGAAGCTCGGGGGAACACGGATAACCAAGCACATTTAACATAATGACATTCTTCAAGAGTCTCATCATTTGGATTGCGGAAGACACACGAATGATCAATTTCAATGCGATGCTTTCGGAGATTGGATCTTATGGAGATAATGTCGTGGCATAGCCTCCACATTCCTACTTTTACTTTCGGAGGGATCAATTGCTTCCAAACCTTAGACCAACGACCAGTAAAAGAGTTGGCAGAGGAAGATGAAGCTCCACCGATGGTTGGTTGGATCCACTCCCTAGTCACATGGTATGCGTTTTTTTAACTGTAAATACACTCTTTTTGTTAGGAGGTCAGATCGAGCAATCATCAGGTTGTATAAGGCTAAGGGGAATTGAGCGAATCGAATCAACTTCAACTGGAGAGAGGAGACACCGAAGGAAATTATATTCCAATTAAGTCCGACATTTTTGACCAATGTTAGATCATGGCTTGCTGGCCTTGGAGTAAAGATGTGGAATGATGAAGGCAAATTTCAAATGATTGCTTGCTTTCTTTTGAACATCTTGTGCTTGGCTATTGCTTCAAGGGTCTGACCACTATTTTTAAGTACTAATCGAATTAAAGCTCAAGATTTGACTAATTACATGTGTTTAGTTAATTAATAACATCTTTTAATTAGTATTGTTCTTCCAAACTTCTTAATATTGTGATTGAGTTCCGTTTAAGACTAGTGGGAAGTTTTGGTGAATGAAAAGGCCTCCATAAACTATTAATTGAAGGAAAAGTACGGCTAAACTATAAACCAAATGTTGGTCAATTATTTGTTGTTATGTTATATGTTTTGGTCCTGAAAATTCAAGATGAGATTGGTGAGGTCATGCTTACATTTTTTCCTTTTGGTAAAAAATGCTTTGCATCCTTTCAAAGTTTCAACTCCTCACTTCAAAATTAGACTATTGCTTCATATGTGTGCCATTTTTTACAAAAAAGGATAGCAATTTAAAAATAACGGTTGTCACATGGGTATATTTTTCAGTGATCAAATTATTGATCTGGAGATAATTTGCATCACATGGGTACATAGTCTACAATAACATTTAAAACGAAGTATTGATGCCCTTTATCGAACGATGTTTCTACGTCCACGCATAAAGCGGTATTATGACGTCTACAATGTAAAAAGCAACGTTATATAATAATCAGAAGTCATTTTGTGTTGCAAACTATGACTATACCCATATATTATGTAATTTTGAACTGTAAATTTTGACAAATACAATGTAACTTTATCCTTCTTGTAATTCAGACGCCTGATGTTGACATTGATGTTGTAATGCCATTAAACATGAAGGTAATGAACATAAAAGTGAATAACGATGATGGGTAATCCAATAATGTTTACTAGTAATAAGTCTATAATGTAACAAGACGTTCATGATTTAACAATTAACGTTGGTAGTGTAATAAACAGTATCATTATATAATCTAAATAATAACATTGGACAATAAACTTTGATGATTGTAATGTAACTTAGTTAAAACAGAGAGTACCAGTACCCTCCTTTCTATAAAAGGTCTCGTGGAATCGTGTACATAAATAAGTTACACGAACGTGACAGCTAGCATACATTTCATATGAACTGCACGTGTAGAATTCGAAGCAAGTTACTTTTGGTGGGTGCATAGATAAAGGAAATGATTTCTTTCAAGGGCGCATAAATCATTTTTCATTTATTTTCCACTGCTTTTCTCGTTAATTAATTTCACTAGATAGAGTGACCAAACATACATTTCAACCCTTTTACCATATATATATATATATAAGTTAACGTAAAATACAGTTTAGTAAAGAATAATCAATCTTCACGTTATGAAAAAAAAAATATATATCAGTCTTTATACTTTTCAACCCTTTTAGTCCATTTCGAACTAAAAAGGCTTAAAACATATATAGTCCGTCCAAAATTATAGTTCTGTAAAAAATTATTTTTAAATGAACAATGTTAGGCCAAATTCATATATCATCTTCAACCAAAGGGACTAAATATAGACCCCTCAATAATTTATTAGCCTTAACTTTATATTTTAAATTTATTGGTTAATTTAATTAAACTACCATTGGATGCTCTCAAATCTAGCTGTTGAATTTGAATTAATTATTGCAACTAATGAGTTAGGCCTTAGAAAAGGGGCCTAAGAGAAGGCTACATTTGGCTAGCCTGATGCCCATTTGGCCAAATAGTAGCCTAATAGGCTCCACAGAATGCAAATCAGGTCATTTTTGGCTTTTGGACCTTTAGCCCTCTCCATTGGAGATAGTCTTAGCATATATAACTCCATCATGAGAAGATCTGCAGCTGCCAATTGAAATACCAAAAAGAGCTCAATATAGGAGTTGTAACACACCCTCATGCAAATATATCAACTATTATGCAGGATTACCCTTCCTGGGATTTGGCTGCAAATTTCATTTAGCAATGGCTTCGGTCTTAACATGTACAAAAATAAGAAAATCAACTATAGTGTGGCTTTATAGGATTTACCTACCGACAACACGGGATTATCCTTCGTGATACTTACCAGCAAAAACTTTATTTAACAATGGCCTCAACTTTCACACTTAAAAAATTAAAAAAAATCAAATCAACTAACTATAGTGTGGTTTCGACTTAACTATATATAATGTGGCTTCATGAGATTTGCCTACTCACAACACCGGATTACCCTTCATAAGATTTACTGTCAACAACTTCTTCAAAACTCATCTTTTTAAGAAAAAAATAACCGGACTTACAACAAATACATGAAGGCACATTATATTGAGAAAAATCAAAGAACAATGAAGAATTGAAAAACCTGAAGAACTAAAGAGAGAAACTGAGGTGAAAAATAAAGAAAAATGAATGTGCTTTTTTGTATTGATTGAATGATTGTTCATTACAATAGTTAGCTCATAAGCTATTTATACAAACAAACTATTTAACCACTTTTAACTATACTAATCCAATGCAAAAGATAATGCCACATGTTGCTAAATCAAACTCATCATATAATGACCGTCACTTAATATGGCAGATTAATATGAATTCCGAGGGTTATTTTGTATATTATGAATTATATTGTCAATTGTCAAGTGAATTTAGTCAAACCCTAGATTCAGTAATCTTAACCAAACAGTGAATGGTCTAACAAAAGATGGAGGAATCGTACTTTATATATGCATTTGGAACATGAAAACACAGACCACGAAACTACCAGAACCCATCAGACTACGTATGTACTGAGCTATTGGATCGACTTGAATTTAAAGAAATATGAATCCTCCCACAAATTACCTTGAACATTGTTTAGTACAAATAGTGTTAGTGTTACTAGCTACTTCAACTAGCATAAGGACTGGTAGTTGTTTGCTTTAAAAAACATCATGTAATTATCATATTCCAATTCACCCTTTCTATTAAAAAAATGGTAGCTAAATGGCT